CTGCTATAAGAGCTTAGTACTAATAGTGATGATAATAATAGTAACAAACTTATTATTTTATTGATTTTACTTTATTATTTTATGGATTTATATTTTTTATTGCTTAGCTTTTTAACATCCAGATTTTCTCTGGTTAACACTTTGTCTAATACAAAGTCTTCACTCTGTACAAACATGGGAGCTCACGAGGACTGAGGAGTATATTTTCCCACACCCTACTCTCAAGAGTGCTTCATTTTTGACTGATTTATCTTGCTGACAGTTTTTTTTTTTTTAAAAAAAAAAACCAGCAACACAACAAATCATAAAAAGTCACAGGCAGCAATTCTAGTAAAGTGCCTAGTAAAAATTGACATGGTAAGGATAATACTCACTTTTTAAGCTCAGTCAAACAAAGTTTAACCTTTTGAGCAACTGGTTCTTATGAGTACAGATGTAATCCATCTCACTCAGCGGTGAAGACTACTCTTGATAATGGTGTAACCACTAGTATTTCTTGGGTTCTGCCTAGTGTTTTGTTGTGTTTAGATGTGTGTTTAAATATCTTAGATTTTAAAAAAATAATTCTTGGGGATTTATGTTTTTCCCCACAAGAGATTTATGGTCCAAAATAAAGCTGTTTTTGGTCAAAGATCATTGAAACCCTATGCTAACATCATGAAGATTTCGACTGGGTATTAGGAAGAAATTTTTTACTCTAAGGGTGTTAAGACACTGGAACAGATTGCTCAGAGATTGTGGATGCCCCCTCTCTGGAAGCAATCAAAGCCAGGCTGGGTGGGGCTTTGAGCAACCTGGTCTAGTGGGAGGTGTCCCTGCCTACAGTAGGGAGGTTGGAACCAGGTGATTTTAAAGGTCCCTTCCAACCCAAACCATTCTGTGAATGTATGAAGCTTTGGTTTCCCATAATGTGTCTTTTTCTCAATGTGGATGAGGGCATGCTTGGGACCACATCTAGAGAAAATGGAGTGGGAACCTAAAAAAATAACAGTAAGTGGAAGGCAATTACAAGTGTAGTGTAGGGAAGACTCAGTCAAAGAGACTTGAGAGATGGATGTCAAGAAGGAGAAGAAAAATAACATTTTCCCAAACAAAGTGTAGCAGCACCAGTAGAAGATGGAAGAAAAGAAGTTATTGAGATACATATAAGGAATTAGGAGTCTCAGATAAAGAGAATAAAGAGAAAGAGCTTGGGAAATCAAAACTAAGTGGAAGAACAAATGGTTAGTGGTGAACCATGTCAATAAGTGTGGTAGGAAATGTCCAACTTTAAAACAGAAAGATTTGCTAATGTCTAGTGTGGTAAAACTTAGCCCCTTTACCTTTAAGGGAAAGTTGTATTTTCATAATATGCTTACTGTAATTATTTATTGATTGTTTTTTCCCCTCATAACTTTTTATTTTCAATCTTGAACTCCATATTTCATTAGCTTTGAAGAACTGTTCAACTCCAGTGTCCCCCTGCCCAGTAAACGTTTTCTGTATTCATCTGTGTTTATTTTTCTAGCTCCTTAGATCATAATGCTCTCATTAATGTGAATCACACTTTCTTTTTTTGTAATATTTCCTTTGAGTACTGAAATTTACTGTAGGCAATCTTCATTTTTTTTTTCTTACTTGCTACTCCTGCTGGTGTGACTGTAGTAGTCTATCTGCACGTTTGATGATGCAGTCTGTCTTGTTTATCAAGCTGGGAGTTTTGAAATGCACAGATCTTTTTACTTAAATACGATTTGTAAATTGTAATAGTATAATCTTTCTTAATATATTTTCATTGAGAATTTTCTATATCCACAAATATTCAAACTATTAAAAGTTTACTAACAGGTTGATTCACATAGAGACGAAGTGGTCTTCTTTGGAAAAGCCATACATGAAATTTACTGCGTCACACAGACTCACAGGTCTACCAGGTTGGGGTCTACCAGGAAGCAAAAGTCCTTTTGTGCAGACCTATTTCCAGCTCAGTGGTCCTTAGCATGTCTTGCTTCCTGAGGTTGTTGTTCTCCTCTGGCAGCATTTAGTATTTCCATTTGATGAAATACACGAGGCTCCCATCAGCTCATTTCTCCAGACCACTGAGATCCCTCTGAATGGCAGCATAAACCCACTGTGTACCATCCACTCCTCCCATGGAATCATAGAATCACCAAGATCAGAAAAGACCTCTAAGATCATGCATCCAACAATCCACCTATCAACAATATTTCCCATTAAACCACGTCCCTCAGTACAACATCTAAATGTTTCTTGAACACGTCCAGGGACTGTGACTCTACCACCTCCCTGAGCAGCCAGTTCCTGAGCACTCTCTTGGAGAAGAAGTATTTCCTAACATCCAATCTAATCTCCCCTGGCTCAACTTGAGGCATTCCCTCAAATCCTATCAATAGTTACGTGGGAGAAGAAGCCAACTCCCATCTCACTACAACCTCCCTTTAGGTAGTCATAGAGAGCAGTAAGGTCACCCCTGACCCTCCTCAGCCTCTCATAAAGTTTGTGCTCCAGACCCCTCATGAGCCTTGTTGCCCTTCTCTGAGCACGTTCTGGGGCCTTGATGTCTTTCTTGTAGTGAAGGGCCCAAAACTGAACACAGTACCGGAGATGCAGTCTAATCAGTACTGAGTACAGAGGGATGATCACTTCCCTGCTCTTGCTGGCAACACTAATTCTGATACAAGCCAGGATGCCATTGGTCTTCTTGGACCCCTGGGCACACTGCAGGCTTATGTTCACTCAAGTGTCAAACATTTCCCCCAGGTCCGTTTCCCCTACACAGTCTTCCAGCCATTCTGTTGCAAGCTTGTAGCACTTCGTGTCAACAACAAACTTGCTGTTTACTCTGCCCCATCATGCAGTTTTATAAAGAGGAGTGCTCAGAGCTAAGTTCCAAGAAGAGGAGCGTAGGGTGAAAGAAGTCTCTTGGAATCCTGTCAAAAGACACTGAATGATTAGTGGCATCGAAGGAGAATCAAGTGATGTTTTTTAAGGAAGATATTTTAAATAATTTCCATTACTTGTACTTCTCTGTGCACAGTGAAACATCCCTTATTCATTTTTTAAATCTGTACATGGAGGAGTTCAGTGACACATCTTTGCTTCATATGCGCTTCCATGTCAGATACCATTTTGTCGGATTGCCTCTCTACTGCCATCTGTTGCATAGCAGCAAAATGTAATGTAGTATTGGTCAGAAAGTTCAGCCTCTACTGCCATACCACCAACATCCAACTCTGGGTTATGGACCAGTGTAATAAAATAAGAGGCATTACTTTTGGTTCAGCCCATATAAACCAGCACAGACAATGCTGAAAAATAAGAAAAGAAGGATGTATCAATTTTTTTTTCTTATTGTCTGCAATTTTTCTTATCTTAGTCATATCTAATTCATTTTTATCTCTTCAATTCATAGAAATACTTTCAGACAGTGATAACTTGCTGTGATTGTTGAGTAAATATTTCTGTTGTTAGCACAATTCTGAAGATGTGACAGTTGGATTTTAAAATACTTTTTCTGAAACATAAAAGGATGAAGTTAAAACTAAAACATTTCTGCTTATCCAAAAGCAGTTATCTGAAATTAGCGGTGACCTGAATCAAGGATTTCCAGCTGGAGTTATTTCCTTAACAGCAGGAAGCATTGACCTTGTACCAGGGAATGGTCTTTTTGTAGCACAAAGCCAAAGATTTGGTAACTCAAAAAGCTATTTCTTGTTAGTAAGATGCAAGTGCATGAAAAAACATGATTTTGATACAACTACCACTTTTTCATAATGGCTGTTGATGAGATTATGTAACTGTTACCAATTTACTTAGCTCAGTGACTAAGCATGTTCCATTTTTTCATAGGAAAAAACACAGAAAAATACGTGTTGAGGGTTCTTTGTTGAAAGCAGGGCTAATTGGATTTGGAAATAAAGCTTCCTCCCTGCTTTCTCATTTTGCTGAATTTTCTGCTGCTACTGATAGAATAGGAAACCAGCATTAGAAAACTGAGAAGAGCAAGACTTTTTTTTTTATGCCTGTTTTTAAAATTGCTAGCTTTTCCCTTTGAATCCAGGTTTCAGGGTTTTTTTTTGTTTTTGTTTTGTTTTTTTGATTGTTTTTGTTTTAAACTCCTTTATTCTGCTGTAGAGAATGCTTTCTTTCCTTCACAGCTTACTTTCCTCTCTAGCGCACCCTGGCCAGCCCTGGTGATTATATTTGCATTATAAATTCCATTTGCCTGGCATCTATCTGAAAGTGCAAATAGTTTTCCAGCATAGCTGAGCTCTGTCTTTGCATTCACAACATATTTTTTCCTTTTCTTGTGTAGTTTCTGATGAAATTACTTCTTTCTTATTCCTTTCTCTCCAACCAATTCAACGTAGACATTACGTTCATCTTTTATGGATAAATGTACACTGAGAATTTGGTGCAATGATAGGAAAGCTTGCCGAAAACAATTGCCTGCAGCATTCTTGCAGGATTTGAAAAATATGTTTTAGACCTTTTTATTCTATAATACTCTACCCTACCGTACTGTACTATAATTGCTACCAATTCTATTAGGTTAAATGAGCTTGGTAAATGTAAGATAAATATGCCAATTTTCACTGCTAACAAAGAAGAGATTTCCTTTCAGGGTAGATGTGACTCATATCCCTTTGGAAGTGGTGGCACACGGTAAACTAGACATAAAAAAATACTTACAATTTCAGTCTTTTGACAGGTGATGATGTAGGGTTAGTTTTTTTTTCTTGCTGATGAGGATTTCTTTACACATTTAAGTATGGAGGGAGTCTGTGGGGTTGGACTGTGCTGAGGATACAGTGAAATTGAATGAGAGCTACATTTCACTCTGTCTCTTGTGATTTATACAAATCCGTAAATTAGCTGCAAAAAGTGGAATTTTGAAGCTGTTGCCTTTGGTTTATTCAGTGATTTCAGCTAGGACAAAATTCACTGAATGACAAATGTGCTACTTCTGCCATTTCATTTTCTGTTTTTACCCATTGTAGACCAGCCTCGTGAAGCTGCTTTTGATGCACTGGGCAAATCCCAATCTTCTTAACTGCAATAATGAGAAACCTTCAGGTAGGTGAAAATCTATGCAAGTTATCTGTATATTAGTTACCATGATACTTCTTTCCTTCGTGCTGGCTTGTTATACACGAACATGTACACATAAATATGCACACACACACATACATGCATGTGTAATGTATGCATGTACTTTATGTAGTGTGTATACACACATTACATACATACATGCATATATGTTTTCTGTATACTGCTGAGAATTGCTTGTCATGGTCATGTCAACAGTTTCATATCCCATGATGACATTTTCTTCCATCTGTTGCATTCTTTGATCATTATTTCTGATTTTTCCTTTTAAGTTCTTGAGTGCCTTGTGTTAGCTGCACTTACGTTTGATGTAAGTCTTGGTGACTTCTTACTGAATTCCTTTCTGTTTCTCAGTTGATAATAGTAGATGCCTGATGAACTAGAATCCCTGTTGCTGCTGACCAAACACAATTTCACTGTCCAGCTTTCAAATGTAATATCTATTGCTTCCCCCAGAATAAGTCACTTTCTTTGGCCAAATAGCAGCAGGATCCGAAGTACTGACTAAGGAAAATAAGATTATAGATTAGTGTAAATTGGAGGGGACTTCAAAACTAACCCAATCAACAATGCAGAACTAATGTCAATAATGCTAGGTAGTAGTGCTGAAAAGAAGAAATCTTCTAAGTCTGGAATAAAATGGAGGATGGAACCTAGCATTGTAGAAAACAGTATTTTCTTTCTGTCAGATTAGTAGGAGAAACTTCCTTTGCATAATAAAATAGGTTAAGTTATGCTTCAAATGATTTGTTATCTACAGGTGTACTGCTAGGGGACTTAAAAAAACTTAATCTCATGAAAGTTGTTTGTATTTAGATACATGACAGTTTTTATTAAATACTAAGGACTAAACTGAGATCACCTAATAATACAGCTGGCTAAATACATTTAGTATGCTTTAGATACAACTGAGTTAACTGTATTTCTGGTCTGCAATTACATCTCATTTCAGCAGTTCTGTCCATAAATCTTGTTTGTAGAAATAGATTTGAAAAGAATTTGAGTGTATTTTCATTGAAGTGCACAGGTGAAAGAATTTGTTTCTTCTCATGTCCTTTGAGTTGTTAAATAAATACTTCAGTTCACTACACAAATGGGTTTTGAAGTTTTGCACAGAACAGCTTAATTTCATACTGAATTCATTCGCTTATGTATTTCAAGTATTATTTTATGATCAGTATCTGGAGCAATCCTTTTCGTTTTAACAAAATGCTTATCTAGTCAGCTTAATCTTAATTTGATCTGGAGAGCTGAATTGAAAGGAGCTTTCCTGTACTGTTTTTTCTTTTTGTCTGATATCTCGATGTTCCAACGTCTTAGATATTGCAGCTTCTGAGTTTATTGAGGAAATGCTTCTGAAGGCTGAAATTGTTTGGGAGGAAAAAATGAAAGACCCTTTATCCGTTCCTACTTTATCTCAAGAAGAGCCTTATGAAGAGATCATCCATGATCTGCCCACGCTTTCCAATAAACTGTAAGTGTTTCTGTTAAGAGTAATGCATCCTGTCTATGTCATTGGAGATAAACCTGACTGGACATGGCCTTGGTCATCCTGCTACATGTGGCCTTAATTGAACAGGACTGTTGGACAAGATTACCTCTATAGAGCTCTCTGCCAACCTCAGCCATTTTGTAACTCTGTGTGATCTGATGGCTCAAGTGTTTCATTTTGGAATTTTACCAAATCTCTTATTTTTTCCCTTTTTCCCATTTTTCCTTTTCCCCTTTTTCATTTTTTCCCCTTTACCCCTTTCCCTTTCTTCTTGTCACCCTTAATTCTAAAAATCTAAATTCAGCCTTAATTCTATGAGCAGTAAAATGCACGGTTATGATTGCCAGTAAAATCATCTGTTATTATCTTTAGCAGAATTATTAGTTTAACACTATGCATCCAAGAAACCTTTTAGTAAGATAGATGAGAATAATGCAGTAAAGCTACCAATACCTATGAATGAAGCAGGGAAAAGACCTGAAAGTAGAAATCACAGATAAAATGATATGGCCCCAGATAGCTATAGGTTTGTAGTTTATACTGCTTAGATTTATACTGCTTAAAATTCAAGTGTGATTAAGTTGAATTTCACAAAACATTGAATCAAAGAGTCAATTTGTATCTTAAATTTTAAATTTTGAACTTTTTGTATTTTCTTGAGAAAAAATTGAGTAAATCTTGAAAAAAAAATTGAGAAAAGGTTGCCATGCATAAGTAAAAAAGAGATGTAAAAGAGATGTTAAAATAGCTAATAAACTGATTTTTTCTTACAGGTTTTAGAGGCTTTCATCACTTTATTATTCTTATGTATTGGATAATGTGTCATCCATTTTTCTTTTCCAGTGTTTTATATTCTAGAAGTTTTTGCTAGATTTTGTACTGGACACTGTTCTTTAATGCTAAAACACATTAACTTTTAAAATGTGTGGTTTGACCATGATAGAAGCAGTCTGAGAATCTTCCTTCTCCACACTTTCATTCCCAAAATACAAGAGCTGTTTCTTGAGGACTTTCTAAATGGTTACTCTTCACATGACAGTTACATAAAACTGCCATGGGTGATGAACTTCACTGGAAGTTTTGGAAAAATGAAGGACATAGTGGAAAAATAATGGAGATGGATTTATTTATGAAAGTGGGCAGATTAACTGCTCTTGCATTTCTTGGTAGCTTTGTTCCAGTGTGTGACTGCAATGAATTCGGTAGTGCTTACATAGCCTACATTGGAATTCAGTAATAGGTCAAACCAAAGATATCTTTAGTCCTGTGCTCTGCATTTGAGAGTGGTTGCAATATTCCAACATTGCCACCAGAATTACCAACACATTGACGCCAATATTCAGCTGTGTACAGTTTCCTGGTTGTAATCTGCCGATCTGCATGCATGAGCTGATCAAGATGCTCTTCATTATGCAACAGCTGTGCATGGCTATCCAGAATGAGGCTGCCTTTCATGCCATTGTCATCACTGCTGAAACACACCACCCACAGCCTCACTGTGCTCACATCCACTTTTTAGTTTCCAAAAACGTTCAGCAAGAGTTGATGAACGTCAAAGGGTGCCATTTTTTTTACATGGAAAAATTGAATGATCTACCTTTGTTTCATATACACTTCCATGTCAGATGCCATTCTGTCACACTGCCTGTCTGCTTCCACGTCGCACAGCAGCAACATGTAATGGAATATTGGCAGGAATGTTCAACCTCTACTGCCCTCCCACCAACATCTGCCTCCTACACTGTGGGCGAGCATAATAAAATAGAAGGCACTACTGTCAGAGCAACTCTTGTACATAAAAAGGATTAGATAATGGCTCAAAAGCAAGGCAGAAGGCTTTTGGCTCTTGGATCTTTTGTCTATGTCACAATTGGTGACCAGATTTATAGCCAAATTATGTGAATCAAAGCAGTAAATATAGACGTTTATTTTCACAGAATAACAGAATATTCTGTAGTGGAATGCACTATTCCCACATTGGCTCCACATCTACTTTTATAATAAATTACATACACATTTTGGCAAGGACTTGCTGTATACTCCTTGAAATTGTCTTGTTTGCACTATCAGAGGCCAAGCTATTTTTTTGTACAATGTTTGTGTTCTCAACTCCTGGGCTGATTCCTCACTAATTCATCTGGATGTAAAACACTGCCAAATCTTCCAAGGTTTTGACATTGTTTTTTAAAACTGTGGTTTTAAAACATGGTCTGATGTATCAGTAGGGAAAATATCTCCACGCATGTAAAAATGAGTTTCCATTTACATGTGAATAAAGTGTATTGTACGTACTGGCAGTGATTTCAGGAGTTCATTTGTTTTTTTTTATTTGTTTGTTTGTTTTTTTAGGTGTACCACAAATGCAACACAACTTTTATTCATAAAATGTAGTTCGGCATTGTCTAGTTAGGAAAAGCTAAAAGGTTGTGGGTTTTTTTGTTTTGTTTTGTTTTGTTTTGTTTTAACTGCAATGGCAATATCTGTATTGAATTATTTTTAACACATTACTTTTCAAAACAGTGTTACATACATTAATTGTGCATTTTCAATTCAGTTTTCAAATTGCCTATTGATTTGCCCCAGCCTAGTGCTGTCAAATAGAGTCTCATGCATATTCTGTTTGGTTTGCTTAGTTCTGCTTCAAAATGGATCTGCATAAAGGTGAATTTTAAATCAAAGTCTTTTGCTCTGTGTCTGTTTAGGAGCAGACCCACCTTGGTGAACAGTTTAGTTTATTACCAATTTCTGTTTTTGTACTTGAACTAACTCAAGTGTCTCAGCCTTGAATTGCACCTTAGTTCTGTGTTTGTTCCACCAACATTGGTCAATCTTTTGTTTATTTGACATCTTCAACAGGAATCTAATTGCTTTATTGATTCTCTTTGTAGCAATCCCCTGGCTTTACCAATTGCCAAGCAAGACAGTTTGCTGGAGAAAGACACCATGTTCAAGGATGCAGCTAAAGGTTTGTGTAAGCAGCAGTCTCAAGACAGTGCATCTGAAAACGTCATGATGAACAGTACAGCCAAACTTGAACAGGTAATTGCATACAAATTCCTGAAATATTTCTGTTGTTTATGCCTGGAAATTGTAAATTTAGAGAAGCTGAAGAAGGTGATAATTTTTTTCCCTGTTGCCACAAAGCAATATGATTTGCACTGTGGAGCCTTGTCTCCTTGCTCACAGAGTGGCTCTGCAAGGAGCTTTCTCTCTGCAAGGGCACCAGCTGCCTTCTGCCAGCTCCTGAATGGTGGCTCAGTGGCTCCGAGCTGCTCAGGCCCTATTGGTAGTTGACAGAAGTGAAGGGACAAGTCTTAGTGCTTCTCAAAGTGTGCTCCAGTCTCCAGCTTGGTTTTACAAAGGAAAAAAAAAATGACTTGGGATACTGAAAAACCAAAATACAATGTCTGGGGAATCTTAAATTGCAAAATTAGTGCCTAATTCAGAGAGAGGAGTTGCCAGATTTTCAGCTGCAGTGTTAACTCCCTGTCATGTTCTGATATATTAGGATGCAGGCACACTTTACAGGATTACAGCCTTATTCAGTGCATGGGGTGAATGCAAAAGGAGGCAATTACCTATTGCTTATAAATCTGGTATGTTCTAAATTTAAATATTTAGAACCTAAGTATTATTTTTTGGGGAGGCTTTACATTTTGTTGTATGTATTTGGGAAACACGTATTCCAGAAGCATTTAGCCATGTGCAAAAAAAACACCTACTTAGAACTGGGGGCTGGAAGGAAGGATTTCCTTTTAAAGTCACTTGCTGTGCGTTTGAAGCATAACAAAGGAGCAGAATGCTGATTTCATTTAAACCATGTTCAGTTTATAATAACTATGCTGCCTTGGCAGAAGCGTTCATATTCCAGTGCTTCTTGAATATGTTTCAAAGGATTGTTGTGTTAATCATATGAGATCAATCAGTGAATTCATATGTCAGTCCTATGAGTCTGTCTCTGAAAGTGCTCAGTTTTGGAATGCCATGGAGCACGCAGTTTGCTATTCAGTCTCTTCCACTGTAAGATACCACAAAACGCTTTACACTTGGCTTACATCTTGTTTTCATTTCATACAATTGTGGCCTTGCTGACTGTGCACTCTTGTGACAAAAACACACTCAATCCAACAAAGAAGAAATGGTAGAAATGCTTCCATCTGCTTTAGTAAGAGCCCTATTACAATTGTACAGAAAGAGAGGGAGTTGCTTAACAGAGTCTTGCTGAAACTGGTATTTCCTTTTGTATGTTCAACAGAAGTTCGGACAAAAATATACGTACTTCCTTTTCTTTGATACTGTTTTTGTGCAGACCTTGCTAAAATTACTCAAGTTTTAAATATCTCTAAGTTAGACGTTAGCTTCATGGTAAAACATATGCAAAAGCCGATCAGAGAAACAACTGATCCTCAAGTTGAGAAAGGGCAACCAAGGGTTTCCATGCTGATATCTTTCCCCTCAACCGTGATGTTTAGAGTCACTTCTGAGTCCCAGTGCAGATCTTAAGACATGACTTCTGTCTCTCAATACTTCTGTGCCACTTCCCACAGTAGGTCAATGCAAAGACATGACAGCAGAATGAACTTGGAAACTAGAATTTTTGTTTAGTGGTGATACCGAAGGAAAACTTTGAACAATCCCTTCCCACTACCCCTCCCCCGTAGCTATACTAATTCTAATGGATTTCACTGTCTCTTATTCTTACCAGTTGCATTACAAACTATATTCAAAGTAATCATGTTCTGTTTAATTTTTCAGTAGGATATCTGGAGTCACTGCTTGGATTTTATGTTCATATATTATTGAAATACATCAGCATGATATTTCCAGTGCTTTGTGTCGGAAATAGCATGCATTCTTGGGCAATATGGCATGCAGATTAGGTCTTTATTGGAGGATCAGAGAGAAAAATTTCATCTTATTACATCTGAAACATGCATTTTTAATAGAGAAGGGCCATAACTTTTTTGGCTTTGAGAAAACTAACAGCTTTATATGTAGCCTCAGGTATTTTTAATTGCAAAAATAATGAAAAAGTATTTTAACAAAATATTATTTCTCACGAAGCAAGATTTTTATTGCATGAAGTAAATTAAATGGTGATCAAATTACTACATTTATGCAGCATGTTAGGTCTTTCTTGGTTTATTGTTAGCTTTTGCCTTTTCCAAGGTAGAAGCTGTTCTTTGATCATATGTAATTTCAAAGTCTGTGTTGCCAAACAAAGAAAGAAGTATGAGTAATTTCCAGAATTTTAGTCTAGCTGGCAATTTCTCCTCTCAGCTGTGAGGATATTTTTCTACTTGTACTAATTCAGCAAAGAAATACAGGTTACATCTTATCTTTTTTAAATTAGATTCTTTAAAATATTTTATCTTTGCCTTATAGTTCTTGTTTAAGTATTATTAATAGAATCATAGTATGGCTTGGCAAGAACCTTAAAGATTATCTAGTTTCAATTCCCTACAATGGGCAGGGCTGCCCTCCACCAGCTCAGGCTGCCCATGACGCCATCCAGCCTGGTCTTCAGTGCCTCCAGGGATGGGGAATGCAGAGCTTCTATGGATGGTCTGTGCCGGTCTCACCACTCTCAGTGTAAAAAGTTTCTGCTTAACATGTAACCTAGATCTCCTTTCTTTTAGTTTAAAGCCATTCCTCCTTGTCCTATCACTATCAGATCGTGTAAAAAGTCAGTCTCTCTCCTGTTTATAAGTTCTTCTCAAATACTGGTCTCCCCAGAGCCTTCTCTTCTCTAAGCTAAACAAGTCCACCTTTCCCTTTTTTTTTCATGAAGAGAAGTGCTCTGGCCCTTTGACCATCTTCATCGCCCTTCTCTGAACCTGCTCCAACAGCTGTATGCCTTTCTTGTGCTGGGGCTCCAGGCCTGGGTGCAGTACTCCAGAGGGGGCCTGAGATGGACACAGTAGAGGGGGACAGTCACCTCTCTCTCCTTGTTAGCCACTGCTCCTTTGATGCAGCGCAGGATATGATTCGCCTTTTGATCAGCAAGTGCACACTGCTGGCTCATGTTCAGCTTTTTGCCTACCAGCATCCCTTCTTGGCAGGGCTGCTCTCAATGAGTTCTAGTTGCAGTTTGTATACATATCTGGGATTTCCCAACCCAAATGCAACACTTTGCACTTGGCCTGCTTGAACTTCATTAGGTTCAGGTGGCCCCACTTTTCAAGCCTGTCCAGGCCCTTCTGGATGGCATCCCTTCCTTCTTTTGTGTCAGCTGTACCACTGAGCTTGGTGTCATCAGCAAACTTGTTGAAGATGTACTCAATCCTACAATGTGGATCATTGATAAAGATGTTGAAGAACACTGGTCCCAAGGCAGACCCCCCAGGGGTACACCTCCACATGACTGCACACCACATGGATGTAGAGCCATTGACCAAAACACTTTGGTTGTGACCTTCCAACCAACTCTTTATCCCCCTACTCCATCCATCAAATCCACATTTCTGCAATTTAGAGATAAGGATGTGGTGCAGGACTGTGTCAAAGGCCTTACAGAAGTTCAACTAGATGAAATCAGTTGCCCTTCTTTTGTCCACCCATGCTATCATTCTGTCATAGAAAGCCACCAGGTTGGTCAGGCATGATCTTTGGACAGGCCGTGCTGGCTGTCTTGGATCATATCCTGTCTCACATGTGTCTAAGCATAGCTTCTGTGAGAATCTACTTCATGATACATCCTGACACAGATGTGAGGCTCACCTGCCTGATCCATGGCTCTTGCTTTCTCCATTTCTTAAAAACAGGAGTGATATTTCCTTTCTCCTATTGAGATTTCTCCTGAAATCTGTGATGGTAACCTCTGATGCCCTTTTTATTGTTTTAGTGTCACCTAGTAGATATACAAGGGGCAGTTATGTATATCACAGCTTCATATGTAAAACCTATAATGCTCTACTTACTTATATCACAAGCAATTAAATACAAAAATGATTAGAGATAGTTATCTGAGCAGTTAATGAATATTGCTAAGTGAATGTAATTTAAATGAGTGAATAGTAGTCTTTGTTAGCATTAGGAAAATCTCAAAAGTAATAGCATCCTAAGGCATAGTTGTGTAGAACTTATGCTTTATTTATGACTGTTTTACTTCATTGACTGTTTTGTAAAATATACATCATGGAGTAAGATAGCCAGATAAGAGCATCAAGTTAAAAAAAGTAGAGAAAACTCATCTGTATGCTCAAAAAAATGATAAGAATGAATTTGTAGATGTCTGCAAAAAGGTTATTAATGATGAAAATGATGTTCATGATCAAGTCAAATTGTTTGTGAATTTATTGTATTGAGTGTTTCTTATTTGTCATTCTCACCTCAGTTTACATTTTGTATTATATTCTTGCTCACTGAGCTGTGAATTTTGATGCAAAGACTCTGTTACAAAATATATAGTCACCAAACCCTAAAGGTTGTAGAAAAGCATGTTGATGGTGAAAGACTTGTGTTACCTTACATATCCAGGAGTTTAACTGAGTGCTTTACATTTCTAAACATTAACCTGAAGAGTCAGCATCTTTGGCTATTACCTATATTATGAAATAAAAGAAGCATGAGCCTGTTCTCTCACCTAGAGACATGTGAGATGTGTCAGTGCACATCTATCTTCCACGAGACAAAACTCTTTTCTCCTTAAAGAGACAGGTCTGTGTCCAAACAGCCTACTGGCAAAGAACATTGGCAGCATACCTGAATGATATCTGTGCATTATCTGACTGAGCGCTGGCTGGAATAGGCCGAGAAGGAAGTATGTTAATTTTACAGAAGAAACCTCAGGCTAATGCTCTTCACAGCACGGGAGTTCTGTGTCTTGACAGAACTCAAGGAAGCATATTAAAGAGCTGTTTTGATTTGGTTGCTGCAAACTTGGTGAGCACATTGGTAAGGGAAGGAGGATGTAGGATTCTGTCTTTCATCTGCTGACTCTCTATGAGAAGCTATAAAGAGATTTTAAAAGGATTTTGCTTTTCTTTTGTTAATTTTGTTCTGTTCCAATGTGCATTATCAAAATGCCAAGGGGAATTCTTTTTTCCAGCCAGTCTTACATCCAACTACCATGGTAATAGGAGAAAAAAAAAAAAGCAAAAAAAAAAAAGAAAAAAGAAAAAAAGCAAGAATTTCTATCTTCTTCTATGTGACAAAAGAATCATAGAATTCTTAGAGTTGAAAGGGACTCTTAAAGGTGATCTAGTTCAACTCCCCTGTAATGAACATCCACAGCTAGATCAGACTTCCCATAGTTTGATCCAGGCTCATCTTAAAAGTCTCCAGAGGTGGGGCATCCACCATACCTCTGGGCAGCCTGTTGCCGTGCCTCACTACCCCCCTCACTGTAAAAGACTTTTTCCTGATATCTAACCTAAATCTACCCTCATTAAATTGAAACCATTTCCCGTTGTTCTGTCTCCACAGACCTTGCTTAAGAATCTGTCCCCTTCTTTCCTATAGCTCTCCCTTAGCTGTTGAAAGGCAGCTATCTGGTCACTTCAGAGCCTTCTTTTCTCCAGGCTGAACAGTCCCAAGTCTCTTAGCCTGTTCTTGCATGAGAGGTATTCCATCGCTTGGATCATTTTTGTGGCTCTCCTCTGGATGTTCTTCAACAGGTCTGTGTCTTTCCTGTCTGAGGACTCCACATCTGGATGCAGTACTCTAGGAGAGGCCTCAGGAGCACAGAGTAGAGGGGCAGAATTACCTCCCTCAACCTGCTGGCCACACTTCTTTTGATGCAGGGTATGGTAGCTTTCTGGGCTGTGAGGGCACATTGCTGGCTTGTGTCCAGCTTTCTATTCATCAGTCCCCCCAGGTCTTTTTTTGGCAGGTTTGGCATTTAGTCCTTTCACCTCTCAGCTTGTATTATTAGTGAGGGTCGCCTTGTCCCAGGTGCAAACTTTGCACTTGGATTTGTTGAACCTCATGGGCCCAGTGCTTAAACCTGTCTAGGCCCCTCTGGATGGCATCCTGTCTCTCTGGGGTGTGTTGACTGCACCCCATATCTTCGTGTTATCAATAGACTTGCTGAGGGTCCACTCAACCCCACTGTCAATGTCATTAACGAAGATATTAAAGAGTATCAGCCCCAGCACTGAAATCTACATTCAGTTTAGTGGGATGAGGAATGCACCTGCAGAATAAGCAGATAGAAAGACAAAGATATAGCAGGCAGCCTGTGGAATCCACCTGCTTATATGTGGCTTGCTCAAAACTCATGTTCTTCTTTCTAAGCCTTGATAGGACAAATATTGTAAGAAAGAAGTTGTCATTTCCCTAATAGATTTAAAAATGAAGATTAGTCATTGTAACGAGTAACCATTTCAGCGTAGATCTCTTCTGAAAAAGATTCAACCAGGGAAAATGAGGGCTGTTAAATTTTTAGATGGCCTATTTGCAGTTTACATCTTGGGTTAAGTGAATATTAAATGTATTTGTAAAAACAGTAATTACATCAGCTAAATCTAGGAAATTAATCCTTGAGGTACCTTCTCTTTTATACATTTATATTTATACATTTATTGCTTTCTGGATTAATGAATTGAGAGGTATTTTTTCCACAATTTTATTGGAGAAAGCAGGAAATAGAAAGCATCATTAAAGTGTGTAATTGGGCACTACTGCCTTGTTGTTCATCTATGTAGCTGGTATAATACTGGCTCTTAAAACTTCAATAGAGCATAGAAGCCAGTCAAGTATAAAGTGTGTGTTTTGGTATCTGTTTTCTAAAGTATGACAGTACTGAAATCTCAACATTTTTGCAAAACAAAAGCAGCCCCAGACTCCTAGCTAAAGATATTTGGTAGAATTAAAAGAACAAAAATTTTTTATTTCTCTGTTTCTAAATAATCTTTGTCTTAAGCTTGTTTGGATCATTTTTAAAAGAATCCAAATAAATACCATTTTCCTTTTATTTTTTTTTTTCTTCCAAGAGTTTTCTTCCCTTCTTGATGGTGCCAGCTACCTTGCTGCTTAATCTTTAAGTGAAGATATAGGGGTATAAGAGATAAGATTAATATTGATTGAAAAGTTGGAGAGATGGGTAAATAGTTCTGTGGTAATGATATTTGGTGTGCATCATTTATCTCTTCCTGGGAAGAGAGAAGAGTAAGCAATCACCATTGAGTGAATATTTTGATGCTGATATTCAATAGTACCATTGTCAGGATAAATAATTTGATTGGACAAATGCTCTAAGTTTGTATTTGCATATATGTTTCAAGAATCTTGAAGTACTGACATGAAGTGAGATTGTTAGTCTACTTTTATTAAGATGAAATTCTTCAGCAGTATCAATCAGTGCAGCTCTGACAGATGTAGGAAGAAAACCCAGATTTCTTGATTATACCTTGAATCTATAAAAACAATGTGAATTAAGTAGTTTAGGATCAGATTGTGTCAATATTAAACACTAGTATCCATAGCCATTGGGGTCTTCTCCTTATCAGAAGTGCACTCCATGTTCCCACCAAAATCTCCTGGTCTGCTTGCTGCTTCTGAACGTCTTCATCATCCATACTCAAAGTAGGCACCGCAGAGTACTTTAGTAAACTCAAAACAAACAAATCACATCATTCTGTTGTCAATCACAGGAGGATTTTCTGTTTGTAAGTATTCTCTTGATGTTCAATAATTTATTTCTTTAGCGTAAAGAAAAGAATTTAGCTAAATTGTAACCTTCGATCATAATTTTTGTATCAGTGTTTGATACAACTTGATGTATCAGTGTTTATTTTGGCTTTAATCAGATTTCCCCAACACACTGAGTTTTTTTCTTCTGTCTCCAATTCTGTTGGTTGATATTTATTGTTTTCTTATTTTGTACTTTACCTTGCAGGGCTTATATTTGTCATCTCAGAAGTACAAGGCTTATTTAATTCACCCGTTTTGCCTACTAGCTGTTTCTGAATCTGTTTTGATGTCCTTCATGATACGATTTCCACTTTTTATTAACTTCCTTTTAATCTACTGAATTCTAATAGAATTTTAAATCCTTTATGATGTAGAGTAATATGAAAGATTTGCTAATTATTAGGCAGTAAATAGTTTACATGTATACACTTGTATAGTGTTGTTCTGCCATAAATGTTCAATGAACTGCTCTCGAGCTGGAAATCTCTTTGTGTTTAGATAGAATCAGAGGCATTCAAATGGGGGTCTATGTTCAAACTCATAGAGTTGTACACCTTATCAATCCTAATTGTTTTTGATGTACTTCTTTTGCTTACGATCATTTAATGGTATGGGAGGAGTGACATATAGCTGTCTATTGCAGTGTACATAAATTCTAGTGATCTAAGCTTATGCTTTTTGTTAGAACATTAGAGTATAAAATGATTGGCTGTGAATTTGCCTTATTTCTCTGTGTAACTTGTGTTTTCTAGATCAAGCTTATGCCTCCAGCTCCAAATGATGACTTGGCTTCTCTGAGTGAGCTAACAGACAGCAGCCTACTTTATGAGATTCAGAAGCGTTTCAATAATAATCAAATATATGTGAGTTACTATTATCAACAGTAAGCCTTTAGCAGAAGAAAATAAGATAAAACTTGTAGGATTACTTTTACAACTATTGGACAGTGACCTGACCCATACTTATAATTAATATTTGAATGGATGATGACATATGTGTGTGCAAGCCCTGCAATTTCTGGAGTTTATACAGGAAAACCAGAAATGAAAAATGGAATAATACTTTAAATAGGCTCAGATAAAACCAACATGTTTATTTCACTGAACGTCCGTACTGAAAAAAATAGATAGTGTAATCTTTCCCTCTGAAACTGCTGGAAGATCCTTCCATCTTATAATGTTATGCTAACTTAAATTTAAAATTTAAATTTAAATTTAAATTTAAAAGAGCATATGATTGCTGGGAATTTAGAAAAAAAAATAAGACATAATCATGGAAGTTTTAATTACTTATAATCTCTTCCTGTATTAAATAAATCATTCTCTATATTCTAAGTCATCTAGATAGCAAGCAAAAAGTCATAATGTAAATTTTCTAGTCAATGCTATAATAAATATTGGAAGCATGTAGTTGTACTCCTGTACAAAAAGTCGCTCTTGAAAATTTTGCTATCTCTGTTCTTATCTTACTCATAACTTATTTCTGATGTATTGAGCAGTTGAGTGGCATATTAATGCGAAACACGAAAATCTCCTTAACATCAAAGACTTCTTATTTCATGTTTCAAGGTGTGCAGTAAAGTTACATTTCACAGGAAAACCCAGCTCTGAAGGAGAGAAAGGAAATAAATAAATTACTTCATTTCATAAGGAAAAAAGTGTATTTTCTACAGAAGGCAATATATTCCTTCTCCCAAAATAAAAATATTTCATTTGGTAAAAGGCAACACAATGGTGACTGTTCATATAATAATTTACTGTCACACTTCTTTGGAGATATAGATCTGAAATTTTTGCACTGTAAGAGTGTGATAGAGTAACAGCTACTTAAATGGAGTGAGAAGCATAGCAGCAAGGGTGACCTACAACCTTCTACTTCAGTACATCTTTCAAATATGAGCTTTTAAGCATGAAATAGTGAAATCTCAGAACCTTTGCAATCAATGGATGATTTGCTTTTATTTTTAATATAGCTATCTCTTTTTTCATATGCTTGTGTATATTCATGAGCATATGTAACTTGTAATATATGTATCCATTGCTGTCTTATCCCACAAGAAAACTATTTTAACGTACCAGTTCTGTGTAGTGAATATAGCATTTCTGAATTCTGATGTTGAACCCATGAATTTGCTTGAGGAACTTGTTTATGTGTTAGCTGTGTCACATTTTTGTAATTTAAAAATAGTGGGTTGCAAAGTAACTTTCAAGTAACGTAACAATAATTTATGCAGTGCATTTTTTCTGTGCATAATTTTCCATTATAAAGAATTCTGTTTTATTACAAAGAGTAATTAATGCTGTCTGAATTGTAAATTTTGATCTCAATTTAACAAGAATTTAAAAGCATCGAATTCTCAAATTATATTTAATGCATTGATAGCTAGACTTAAGATGCTTTGTGAAAAGTCTTTCCTGGAAGAAAAACATTAGACTCCTTAGGAATCAATTTATTTCTTAATAAAGCAATTATGTGATATGTCTCAGTGCCTTTGTTGTTTTTTTTTCCTTCAGACCTACATTGGTGATAAATTGCTGCTTGTTAACCCATTTAAAGAACTTCCCATCTATTCCACCATGGTAAGCATTCTGTCTGTAAAATGTTATAGTGTGGGGTTTTTTTCAGTGCATTCATATAATTAGTTGACAGGCCAGACTTCTGTAATTAACCTATATAAACGCCCTTTCTTATGTTGGGAGCATCTTAGTTTAAATAAGTAGCAAAAATTTTTGTATTTCTTCTGTGATACCACTATTTTTGTTATCTATGTCTTATTTGTGTAAAAGCCACCTTGCTAATGTTTTGTGAGTGATAGCATGCACAATAGTTAAAACGTGGTTCCTGATGTGCAGTGTAACATTGGTGGCTTCTGCTACTTCCAGACTTGCAGGAAGAGATGACCATGCTTTATACAATGGTTGCTTGCATTCACAGCTTGCTAAAAATGCATTTATGAAGATGAAAACCTTGAGAGGTGCTGGAAGGCTCAGACTTGCTGCCTGAGCTCCGTATCAGGCCATTCAGTTCAGGCACTGTATAAGCAAGGAATGCAGAGTACTTGGTTTGAGTTTAGACTGTGCTGGGGCAGTCACAAAGGTATGGTGTGTGTTGGGCACAGATAGCATAGGGGCAAACATGAGTCTGTGTCTGCACTGTCAGCTGCACAGAGCTGCTGAAGAAGTGTTTCTGAAGTTTCTTTTTCTTTGCTAGGATCCTTAGCTTTCTCGTTTTTTACTTACGAGGTAAACTAGTTGCTTACAGGGAATTTATCATGTCAGTATGCGGACATCAGTACTAAATTAAGTAGACTTTGTAGATTGTTATGAATGGCTTGGTCTCTGCTTCATCCTCAGTGAGACATTCCAGAGACAGAGTGTGTGCATGGCTGTTGATTTTTCATTTTTAATTCTCATCCTACATTCATTATTTTCTTGTAATTGCAATGAATTCAGGTCCCTTGCTGTATTAGGTACAATAAAATATATTTATTTAGCTTAACAAGGATTATAAATTGCTCAAAATCTGGTAAGCAAATTAATCTGTGTTTGCTTGCTGCATCATGAGTGCTTTGTGTGTATCAATAGATCTGTGATGTTTGGTGGTAATAGCAGCAGATTTCAAGTACGAAGACTAAATTTAGTTTCTATAAATGGAAATCATCCATAAGCCATAGGGTGTTGTATAATTATATTTTTCCTATCACTGTATATTTTGCTTAAGTTGTGTACCAAGAAGGAGCTGTAAAGAAAAAGAATTCAAATATATTGGCCTTGACATAATTTTTAAATCCAGGATGAAGCAATGAAAAAATGATCGTGTATATTATTCAGAAACAACAATAACAACATCTCAGATTTTCTTCCTTTTACATTCATTTATCATAACTTGGCAATTTTATGTTGACCTTCCAGTCCTAGTTCCAATAAACTACCAAAACAAATCATTTTGTAATCAGTTTTTCACACTGAGATAAAATAGTGTCATGCATTAATATACTCTGCTTCATTTGATACAGTTGTTAGATGACAGTATTAATGCATTTTTACACTGAAATGCTCTTTACTACTATAGTAGCACTACTAGAAACGTAACAGACACCATTTTTGAGACGACATAGTAACTGTCTGTAGAAACAGTGATTCCTATGGTCATCTTGTTGTGTCACATTTGTGCGGAGTTCAATCGTCAGAGTAGAGCAAATGTGTCTTTAAGTCCAGTAGTAAAGTAAAGTAAAGTAAAGTAGTAAAATGTCTAACCTTGCAAACATTATGCGCTGGCAGTAAGAGTGTGAAGATTTTTCAGATCATGTTGTTTTACTCAGTTCAAAAAAGGAGCACTGTGGAGTGCCATAGTTCTGTTTAATTTTGTATCGTAATTAGCACTTTTATACTTAGCAGTTCTGTTTTTTTTTTTCTAGTTAAACTCAGGTACTATATGGCACTTAAGGAGTGCCATATATACGTACAGAGATTCTTTTCATTATGCATATGGAGAGTTGTACAAAGACCTGGCATCAAGGAGGTGGAGGTGAGGGGTGTGGGAGGGATGAAACACAATTTGAAATATGTTGATCGTGTTGATTTACAACATTTTTTCAGGTCACCCAGCTTTATTTAAGCAATTCTGGAAAACTGTGCGCCACACTTCCCCCTCATATATTTTCCTGTGCTGAAAGAGCTTACCACATGCTGTTCCAGGAGCAGCGTCCCCAGTGCTTTATCCTCAGGTGAATTTTACCTTTCCATTAACTATTTTACTACTTTTGCCTTTCAGCTGTTCCCCCCAGGACTCAGTACTTAAGATTTCCATTTTATTTTTTCCTCCAACTGATTTCTTTCTCTGTACTGATCTCTATATCATACACTAGAGCAGAATAGAACCAAAAAAGATTTAATTATACCTCAAGTTCATAAATTTTCTTGGGAACTTGCCACTCCATCTAACTGGATCTAATTACAAACAAAGAATTAATGATAAAGAATTCAAAGCTATTATGTGCATTGCTAATATTACATGGAAAGGAATTAGAAATAGGATCTAATGAAAATAAAAAGAGAAATCCTTTACAAAAGTTAAATCTCTGAGTTGAAGCACCTGTATTGGAGCTTCCACTCTACCTCACATGTTGTGTGAAACCCTGTGCTTGTTGTTTAGCACTCCATCTTCAATGTAGGGCACTTTATGTAATTTACAGTTGTTCCAATGGTAAGTACATTCAAGATTGCAAATAAAACTATTAAAAATCTCCAGTAAAACAGAGGTTCATCCAGATGCGCTGCTTTTATTTCAGTGAATCTTTGAATTCTCTTGGCTCCCTACATCTGTTAATCTGCTGCCCTCCCTTTTCTTCCTTCAGCCTACCTGAAAGCAAAGAGCGTGGCAAATTTGATGTAGCTGCTCAATCATAAAGTTGAACTATTTGAGAGAACTTACCATTGCTCTTGAACTACCTGTAATTCTAGAGGTAGTTAACAAGAGCTGCTAACCATAGTGTTGTGAAGTTACAACAATTACAGTGAGGAGATAACAGCAATTGTATATATACAGTTTTATTGGATTCTGTTTATGTGGATATGGACTTGTGTCAGTATTTGAAGCTCGTACATTAAGTCCACAGCAGGACCGGCAGGGCCCACTGGTTTTGGCTTAGTCTAAATAGTTCATAGAATGCCACATAGGCAAATAGCCACGCTAAATCAGAAGGATGCTAGATTTGTTTGGTCTTATTAGCAGTAAATCCAGTGAAAATTGATTATTCCTGTGGAATAAAAAACTCAGAATAAAGTTGCCTTGATAATTGCAAGAGATGCCATGTTTGACATACAAATACTCTGGAAAGTGCTCACTAAGATGATACTTTTGTTATCTATTACAATTGGATGCAAAGGAAATGATGCAAATATAGAATAAACTCCTAATGTGTATTTATTTTTAGGTCTACTTTTCTTCTAATTATGTATAATAATACTTTATATTATATGTAACTTGTTAGTTCAGTTTATAAACACGGTGCTTTACTTTTATTGTAGTAAATTTTACTGTGAGATGACTGCTATTTTGATGTGCATGTTATATAGTTATGATGTGATATGGAGCAGTGAGAAATAGTATCATGGCAATGTTAATATATTATTCTCACGTGCAGTTCTCAAAATATGTCTGGTTTAAATATAAGCTACCACATAAGTGATGGCAGTATCTATAACTGTCTCCTAAATCTTTCCTGAAAATTCATAGTTTGTTTTTAAGGGGGAAAAATAAAAAAAAAATAATAATAATAATAAAAAAAAAAGTAATTTCTTTATAGAAGATAATTATTTTCAGTATATCCGGTTACCCACTCTCTTCTCAACAAGACTAGAAAGAGTTTCAGAAAATATGCCCTATGCATGTTAGTCCTGTCATCTTCATCATGCTTCTTTATTCTGGAGAGATAAAGTTTATGTTTTATTAGCAATGTTTGTCAGTTCATTTTTTTTTTCCTGCCAAGGCTTAATTACAAAAAGAAACCTTCCATCAATTTAGTGGCTGTTGTTAATGATTCATGAATTACTCTTTTATTGCACACATACAGTGTGCGCTAATGAATTCTGCGCACTGCATAACCCTTAATGATACTGTTCTTCTTAGTCTAGTCATTTTTGCCTGCCACGTTTTCACAAAGGATAATAATGATTAAAGACTCCTGAAGTTGACTGAAACAGAGTTATGTCCAAAGCAATCATCCTGAAACCACCACTACACTTCAAGTACTACTTCAATTTTCAGCCCATGTGTGTGTTCAGAATAGGTTCATGCTTTCTGGGCAGTCTCACAGTGCTATTTATTTCATGCTTAATCCTGATTGAACCAGGAGTTTGGCATCTCTTTACCCAAGTCTCTTACAACAAACTTGCTTGAATCTCTGCTTATTCACATCAATGAGTGAACTTGTCGTACAGTCCCAAGCAGTTATACTTACTGTATGTGGTGCTGCTCATAGTTAGTGTCCTGTAAGAGGTCCATTTTAAGTGCTTAGGACAATTCATATCTATTTATTAGTTTTTCTCCTGGCCTTCTTTGTGTCTTTCTACTTTACTTGTTTTCCTATTTATTAGTTTTTCTCCTGGCCTTCTTTGTGTCTTTCTACTTTACTTATTTTCCTGTATTCTGAAGCTTTACTCTTAACTTCCTCCATGGAGCTACGGTGCTAAACATTTTTATTATTATGATTGCTATTTGGACACTTCACAAATGTCCACTCACTGAAATCAAGTTTCTATTTTACAGTAGAAAAGGGTATGTCCAAATTATTGAAGAGATTATTACCAGTTATTCATAATTACTTTTAGTTTATAGTAAGCCTATCCCATTGATATATGCTTAACACCAAGAGCTAGCTGTGAATATACTTTTTATGAATGTTATCAAATAAAATAAAGATGTGTTATGCTTTTAAATAATCAATAGATAGGCTTTTCATAATTAACTTGCTTCTGACTGGATTTTGTTCCTGCCATACAGGATATGAAAATGCATTAACCACCGACAAGATAAGTCAGAGCTATCTGGGAAGTCTAAGCATAGTTTATGAGCTTGTTAAAAGCTAAGGATCTTCAGTCAATCAAGCCAATGGTTTATGGGATGCTAATGGCTAATTTGGTGATTTAAAGAAGAACAACAAGCCTTAAGGAATATATGTAATGAATTGTTGTATAAAAGTTAGGAGACAGGAATGTCAATATCCAGAGATTTTATTCTGAAATAAACCACATTTATAAGCCCAATAACCTGGGACTGAGAGAAATCTTCATCTTTTAAAGTGGGCTGACTTGACAGCTTTTGATTTCCTCAGGTTAGCATCACCACATATATTCTGTTCAGGTTAATACTTTGTATTTTTTAAATTCTAATTCAGTGTATTGTAATTGCAGTGAGCTGTGGTACTATAGTTTGATCATCTTATTTATAATATAAAATTGTTTAGAAATACATTTTTCAAAATAGTTTACTTCACAAATATAATTTCCCACTAACACGCAGAGTTATTTAGTTATTTTATGTTTAGCAATGTTACTCATACATGTATATTTCAAGACTAGGAATCTTGGACATGGAGCAGGACCCAGTGTCTTGCTGTGCTACCATGCAAACTGAGAAGAAATTTTTCTGGCCTTCCAAAAGGTTTCTCCCTTTTCCCTGGATACACACTATCAGAATGGGAATTTGTATTAATAACGTACATGCTTGAGAGTGGAATGTTGAGGGCCTGGCTTCAGAAATTCATACAGTGTAGCAACTGCATCTGATCTGAATCTAACTTTAAAACTGTTAGGAATCATATATGAAACAAATTCTGTTGGAAATTTTCCAGCATTTCTGATTGTAATCCAAGTAGCACAAGAGTAGTCTTTGTTTATTTTAAATATTACTGCAGAATTGGTCAGAAGTGTAAATGGAACAGGGCCAAACTCTGCCTGTTCTGTGATCTGAAGAGACAGGTAGCTCCTTCCTTCTATATTTTGTCACAATTTCCCCCAAGCACATGATTTATATGATTAATTTACATTGGAGTTGACGTTTACAGAACAGTAATGATCCAGTTAAGGAAACAATCTGAATTCAGAAATAAATAATGTGAATATCAGAATAATAGTTATCTGCCAGTGGGTATAAAAGGCAGCATGCACTGGACAAGGTGTGGGCTGTTAGAGATTTGATTTTCAAACATCTGAGCACTTGTGCTCAGTGACATCATGTGCAGCTGTGGTTGATAAATTTCTGAGACATTTTAAGTGCAAAGAAATTCTGGGTAAGCTGAAATAATTGAATGAACCACTGTTGCCAGTCCTGCTGTTAACCTGTGATATGATGATAGGTTGCAGCTGTGATTGTGGTCCAAGTGTATTGTGGAGGGATAAAATTGTTTCATATGGCACCCAGGCGTCAGTGGACTGCTCATGTGAGTGAACAGTAGGAAGTGTGACTCAAGAGATACTGATATCTGTCTGCAGGCTCACTGGCCTTCTGCATAGTACAGGCATATGGTCTGTAGTTTGCAAGAGTATGAAATGTCTTTAGGGGAGGAGCATCACAGGACTAATGCCCTTGTGTCACTTTTCTTCTTCTCCCATTACTGATGACAGTTTAAAAGAACACAGAATTTGGACACAGCCATTATAAAGGCAGAAAACTAATGCATCTACTTAGAAAACAGGCAGGCAGCTTTGTAATATTAACATTCAGAGAGGGAATCCATGCTTGAGAGTGACATCAAATATAATCTAACATGAAATGAATTGTTGTAGGAAGTCAGAAGCTGAAGATTGAGCAGTGTATAGTGCAGTTATATCTGGTCAATCCTGAGAGATGCTAGCTTCACATTTGCTATGGTGGTGACCTTGATTTCAAGTGATTTGTTTTAAGACCTGGTTTAAATATGGCTTTGTGACCTATTATTTGAAGGCTTTGCATATCATATATCCAGGTTGCAAACCTTGGACTACAAACCTCCTGCAGATAACAGCATGAGTTTGAAGTCCAGGGTCAGCCTGTTACTAAAGAAGGACATACTTAAAAGCAGCCTGATATATCACATAGACTAATGAGAAATCCTCTTGACACCAAGGAATGCATCTTATTGAGCAGACAAATATGATATCCACCAGAGCTGCGTGTGTCCCATAAGAACTGACTAAGTGACACAGAGATCTCAACTATGAAAACTTTTTTTTCTTCTCTCTTTTATTTCTTCCTTTATTTAATTGTTTTCTCATTTGAAATGAGATTCCTATATATAAGGCAGTGGCCAGGCCAGTAATATATTTTGCTGCCCTCTCATTTTCATAAACTAGACTACAGTCTGACCAACCAGCACGATCATTGTATTTTAACTGACTGTAATAGAAGCAGCCTTTAAAGTTTGATCAAGCAGGTAAATGAGGAAGGGGCACCAAATGTCATTTGGTTTGGTTCAGTTAAATATAACAACTTACAGTGCATCTAAGGAATTCCTTAATCAGGCTTCACTGACTTTATTCTTCCTTGATCAAATTGTCTATTACCTCGTTTTCTTCATCTGTCTTTCCTCCCAGGAATTCTTATTGTATGGAATATATATTCCACATCATGAACAAGAAGTTAAACGTTAGCTCTGTGCCAGCTAACTGTTAAATAATCTTTTCATTTTCTTTTCTCTTCATTTTTATTTCCTTTCTCTTCTTCCTAAAGCTTTACTTTTTTTTCTTTCTGACTCCTGTGGTTAACACAGTAGTATTTCCCCATCTGCAAAGAATTGAGCTGTGTAAGCAGATTCCTTAGCTGGCCAGATGATAAAGAAAGAGATAAAAAAATTGCTGTAAATACCTTCAAAATGGCTTTAGATTTGGTTGGCTTGACTTGTGGTACAAGACAGTATAGCCAGACAGCTCTGAGAGACCGCGTCAATATAGTAAGCCAGTCTATCTCCTATGTTTTCTTCTTTAGTATTTGCCATCCATAAACCTTCTGTTATTTCAAATGCGTGTTTGACTGAGATATCTTAAATCCATTCCGACACAAGTAGTAGAAAGCATAAGTAGTGTTTCACATGTGAAAATAAAACCAATGATTTCACCTTCTCTTTCTTTTCTGGTCATTTTACAGTGGAGAAAGTGGTTCTGGGAAGACTGAAGCCTGCAAACAAATAGTGAAGCACCTCACTTGTAGATCTAGCTCCAGCAGAAGTACCTTTGATACAAAGATAAAACATGTAAGTAGCATTCTGAACACTTGAATAGAAAAAGGCAAAAATCTGGTCTCTTTATATGCAAAGTCATTTGAACAGCAAGGAAAAAGGCACCTGCTGTGCAGAAGTTTCATGTCAGAGGAGGCTTCTTTCCTGCCTTGATCTGAATGGAAGCAGGATTAAGTTCACTGTTATGATGAGTGGAAACTAAAAAGTCGAGTCCAGTTTTGTTTCTATATATTTTAGTTATTTTGGAAAGCAGTGTTTCAGTGAATGGAAAATATAGTGTGATAAGGTACAGCCTCCTGAATATGTACTGACTGCCTATAGTAAGTAAATAAGATTCTCTGTGTGGTTGTAGTGGTCTTTGTCCCATCCAAGAAGTGCTTGGACATCTGAAGTAATAGTATGTGAAACAGAAATTGGAAAGTTGTGGAAGATCTACAAGGACTGACTGAAGTTATAGACTTGGTATTTGTGTATAAAATATGGAATAGGCAAATGTTCTGAAATATTTGGTCAATCATATTTGATTTCAGTAGCAGAGCCAAATTATGTTCAGTGCACACTGTGAAATCAGGAGAACCTGTTTTACATATCAGGTAAATTAGACTACATGCTAACACATTGTAAGTGTAAATTTTTCACTTGACTAAACATAGCAACTTTGTGAATAAACAACTGAAAACTGTATGTTTTGGATAGAAATGTGGGAGCAGTGAGAATTGGAAGTTGTGGGAGTCCTGTTGTTGCTGAGACTTGTCTCCTGGCACAGTTTAAATCCCCACCAGGAACTCTGGCAATATGTACCAGTAACCACTCACAGTGCTTTATCTGCCCTGCTTTGCAAATAAAAGCAATGCAAATATGAATCCTATCATATCACATACCATAGAGGTTAGAGTCCTAGTCTTGTTTAGTCAAGTAGTATAGAATTAAGCATGTTTCAATGACTCGTAATCAGTACAGATAGAAGAGGGTCATCCCATATTAAGAAAAATAAGTTGCATTCTGTTTATAGAAGGATTCCTTGTGAATAGCTCAGGTGGGATAGCTGGCTTCAGACAGAGGAGGTAGGTGTAGCAGATCCCATCCAGGGGGAATTACATTATAGCTCTGCTTTAGTTGCCTTTTTAAGGTGCTTTAATGAACACAATGACCTGGATTTGTGCTTGCTGCAGTTGCACATAGCACCATTTAAAATTACTAAAGTTACAAACCAGGTGCTGAATTAGCCTAATTTATGCAAATACACCCTAAATCTCAATGATACAGGAGTGAAACCAAAATTAAGTTCGCTAGTTTCTGCTGCCACCTACTGCACCAGTAGCTGTTTTAATTAATAGCACTGAAGGGTCTGAGGTTGGGCTCTTGTCTTTTCCCTTCCATTCACAGCTCCCACTATTCTGACGGCACTTAGGTGGGGTTTTTAAACTATTTTACTTTAATTTCTATACTGAAAAAAAATCTCTCAAGAAATTTGTTAAATTCCAAGCTAAAAAGTAGTCTTATTTTTTCAGTTACTGGTCCTAAACCAATTTCACTGACGTTTATTGAAATATTTTCTTCTCTTGTCACTGTTTTACCATTTTTTTCTTGAAGGTAAACTGTGTCTTGGAAGCCTTTGGACATGCTAAGACACCTCTAAATGATTTTTCCAGCTGTTTTATAAAATATTTTGAGCTACAGTTTTGTGAGAAGAAAAGGACATTAATTGCAGGTAAATATTTAAAATGTTTAATGCCTATTTTATGATTACTCTAGACTACAAGGTGAGGAGTCACAGTGTGACATACAAGTGGTTATCAATTGCCTTCAAGTATGTGAAGAAAGGGAGTTTATGGAGTGTCAGAGGAACATGATTCATAGCATGTGAATTCACAGCTTGTCTGAAGTAGAGCAGTTATTGGAGGGAGAGAGCTGCTTTGTGTAACCACCAGGTGGCAGAAAAACCCAAGGAAAAAACTGACCACTGCCACTTCGTCTTCCATTTCCCAGGAATCAGTATTCCTCTTCATACCTGAGACTAAGCAAACTCTGAAAGTTGTGTATCACTTTACTGAATAGTAAAAGTAACGAGCAGATTACTTTCTGCATTTGGAAGTATTGTGGTATTGGGCATTTTAAGTATCCCTTAAGCTTAGCTGTTAACCTTAGGGCAGACAAAAAAGATATGCTTTCTAATAATCAAATTAGAAGTTGTTATAACTTTGAGCTTCCTCTGAAGGAACCAGGAATCATGCTGATGTTTCTTTCAGTTTGAGGTGAGAGTGTGGAGATAGTGTTTGCTTTCACTGTAAGTGGGAATCTTGTAATTACCAGCACACATTCATTAATGGTGAAAGTGGATATTGAGCAAATGTTCTGTGGATTCTGAAAATTCTGGTCACCTGAGCCAGTCTGGGAGAACTTTCATTTCTGGTCTCTGTAGGCCATCAAAAAGTTACTCTGTACTAAAGTGAGAGGTGAGTGCAACTGTACACAGTTGCCTGCTTGCACTGATCCTCCTGGATAGCAAAGCTGTGTGGTGACACATTTTTGATCCAACTAACTTAGATTTCACTGGATAAACATTTCCAAAACTGCTCATTTTTAAAGAAAGTCATTGTTAATGTGTATTAGTATGTATTTCTTTTTTTTCTGAAAAATGTTGTTTGAGAATATTTCATAGTGGTAACTACAGTTTATTTTCTCAAGAGTATTCAGTGTACCTTAGCAAGTATGAGAGAAAATATCTCTGTGTGAGAAATCAGTAGCACTTTCTTCAATTTTGATTTACAGTAAAAATTTTCCCTGGATTGATCCATATGTAGCTTTGTGCCATGTTATCCTGCTCTAAAACTTGAATGATGGCTTTTCTATGTTTTTTTTTTTATGTTCTGCATCAACAAATTTCAGTATGTGAGCATTTCAGAAACATAAATGGCTTAATTTTCATGGTACATATGTAGTAAGGTTAAGTCATTGAGTTCCCCAGATGAGGATAGTGTGGAAGCCTGAATGTTATGTATTCAGCAGAATTTTGAGTGCTTCCCTTTCAATGAGAGAATCTGATTTCTTCAATCATATTTGCTATTTTAAGTCACAGCTTTTGTCTGCAAATGATATTAACGTGGAAACAGCTAGTCAGAATCTGATGTCAGTTTTCTGATAGACTGGTGCTGTGCCTTTATCACTTTGAAACCACTGACACAGAATGAGAAAACCTAGGGTTGAGTTAAGGCTGTGAACAAATATAAACAAATTGCTTATCTTATGCAGAATGTTGGGCACTTAAGAACTGCATAAACTACTTAAACTAAATCTTAGGTAGCCAAAAGTTCCAAAATTTGTTTAAGAATATGAAACTACAGTACAGGAGAAAAATAAGTACATGTATATTGCAGTTGTTCATGCTGTTCACTGTAAGAGTTGAATTTTCTAGGCTACTGCTATGCATCAGTTTGGAATGGAATTACCCCTGACTGACATTACAATAAATGAGAAAAGAATCTGGCATGTTGTCTTTGCCTGGATAAATCCTACCCAATGATTCTGTATATTTATTTGCAAGATTATTTGAAGCAGTATTTACTGTCTCGCACTGTTTAAGCATGAATGAAGTGTGTAAATATACAGAGCACCTGATTCTGCTGAGATAAGACTTTGTAACTCATTTGAGAAAACTGGGCTAAGTATGTCTGATCTGTAAACAAAAATTCTAGTGACACGAGGCTGCCTCCAGCAAAGGATTTAAACTCTTTAACAAACTGAGCTTTGAGGGAGAGGTCCAAAACAGTTTACTTAGGAAGAGGCACACTGAATACATACGTACATTTTTATTATACAAGACAAGTTCAAGGTAGCATTCTTTGCATTTTAAGTGGAACTGGATCAACTTTGAAACAGCTTTTTGTTTGTGCTGAAGTTCTTTCATGTCTGGACCTTGTAAATGCCCTGATTTTTGTCACATAAGATTTTTTCTTGTAGAAGAAAGTCCACTACACCTGCAGAACAGAAATTTTGGCCATGATTTTCACTTGCAGGCTTGTTTTGGTCTTTATTAGAAACAGTGCCATGAGGTTCTGAAAGAAAGAGTGGAGCTCTTGAGTGTGGTTCTACTGAAAACCATAAGAGACATCCATAGAGGTTTGTGTCTCCTTGTGACTCTGGTTTGTGATTAGAAACCCTGCAGTGTTATGCTGAAATGGGACTTCTCCTATGATAAGTAGCTTTATGGTAAGGTACCTTCCATTGCTTTCACCCAAACAAGTGGAGAGAATATAACCCAGATTAAGTCACTGTTCATTGAGACTGAGTATGATAAGGCAGTGGGAACTAGTAGAAAGTGATACATCAGAACAAATTTAGAATAATCTATAGACAAGTGGTTTTGTTCTAAAATGAGCTCATACATAACAGAACTTGAAGACTTTTGCCAAAATATGGTAATCATAAGCAGCACTGCACACCCATTGCACAGTAGTTAAACAAGGATTATGTACCTATTTCCAGAAATAAAATTGATGTTTTTATTTGGGAAAGAGAAGGGCAAATGATCCCTTACATAAGTTGGCTTAAGTCCTGAGATGGGTGGCAAGGCCTCTCTCTGTTTCTTCAAACAACTGAAAAAAAGGTTAGGAAAAGAAGATCAAGTCTGAGGAACTTATTCTCCAGATTTTCCAGTCTTGGTTTTCTCATCTTCACTATTTGAAAATATAAGTTTTTATTTGCTTGGGTTTTTTTTTTTTTTTGTTTGTTTTGTTTGTTGGTTTTTTCTTTTTTTTTTTTTTTTTTTTTTTTTGGTTTTGTTTTGTTTTAAGTTGTCCTAAAATGGAAGGATGTAAATTGATTTGTAAAAAGAGGCAGAATGCATTTTGGCCTGTGTTTGTTGCAAACGTTTTTGATCAATTAAAAAAAAAAAAAGAAAAAGTTTAAAGCATGATTTTCCTTTTTTTGATGTAAGAAAGACTGCAGCCAAGTTCTCCGATGTATTTTTGTACAATGTTTCAGCTAGGAAATTTTGTATGTTATTATTTAGCAGTGGCTGTGTTTAGCAACAAAGTTTTTGAGAAAGCAATGTAGTTTCAAAGAATGCATCCTCGAAGATTTCACTGGCTACATTTTCAGAGCAGGCTCTGCCTGCTGACTGCAGCTACTCTGCAGATTGTCTGATCTGTTAGAAGTACAAGTTTCCTTGCACTTGTAAGTATAGCAGACATGGCACAAAAACGACAGACTTTGCTCTAGAACTCCATTACTTTTCTCTTTTATTTCACATAGATTAAATAGCGTATCAATTTTTCTTTATAGGAAGGCTGTGACAATTTTTTTTCTGAGTTAATTTAGTTTCATAAATTAGTTTCATTAGATTCTTGCTGATCAGAAATTTGACAGTTCTTAACAGCTATTCCTACTTCTGGAGATGCTAACTGAGATGAACTGTATTTAGCCTTATTGAAGTCGGTGACTTGAAGTAGCTGGAAAGTGCTGAATTAATCTGTGCAATCTAAATAAGTGGTGTTGCCCATCATTAAAGTCAACTGTATTAATTAATCAGATTACTTCCAATATATTTTTTCTTGCTATTATTAACCAGTGAATACTGAAAACATCTGAGTGATAGTTATGAAAGCCTTAGTGAAGACATTTGCACAGAAGGAAAAGTGATTGAGGATTAGTAATAGCCTCTTTTAAAATTAGTTGATGGTAGGGTTACTTCTGTAAGAAATACAAGAAGAATAAAAGATATTTCAGTACTTCCCATCTTTAGAAATCTTTAAACTCCAACTCTGCCTTCAAAATTCCTCAGGCATTTGAAGTTGCAATTCTGGATACACCTAAAAATGCAGCATTTTTGATTGCACTGAATACTGAGTGTTATTTCATACTTAATCACATTTTTCTTCAAGAAAAAAAAAAAAAAAAAAAAGCTACTGGATGTATATGCCAGTGTTTGTAGTACTGGGCATGCAGCAACTGCTTGTAGACTTGGTTATCATCCACACCATTGGAAGATATGATTTAATACACTTTTATGTTCTATGTTTGCATGGTTTCAAAAATACAGTTCCTTCTTTGCTGAGAAATGCGTTTTAACCTCTAAACTTAACAATGACTTTTTCTAGGATAGAGGTGCTCACTAACACCTTGTGAAAGCTCTGCTGCATTGCAGGGTTTGAAAAGCATGTAGTAGCAGCATAGTGTGCTGCAACCTTGTTGGAGGTGCCTCTTCCAAAAACTTAGTGAGCATGGAGCATTTCCATAGTCAAATCACAGCTGAGTTCTTCCTCCTTCCCCTTCCTTGCAGATGTGCTGATTCATGTGCCTTTTCAAATGGCAAGCTCATCATAGCCCTTCTGGAATACACGTCTTTCCCCAAGTATTGGTTAATGGGCTTGCTGACAACCATGCAATTTGTCTTGTTGTAGCCATCTAGAAATTAGGTGGCTAATCTATATTATTAAGATGAGCATTCTTGATTGCCAAGAGAGAAAAAAGAAATGGATCCATGGACCATTTTTTCCAGAGCATCTTGAATCTTTCTTACATCTTTGTTCACTAAGAAGGAGTTTGGAATTCTCAGATTGCTACACTTGGGTGAGATTACTAATAGCTAATTTTAATAGAATTAGGATTCTATATATGATTCTATATAGAAAATTATGGTACTACGAATGGTAGTATTTTTTATATCATACATACCTCAGACTGCTTTATTAAAATATTTTCTATTTTTCAGTGTTGCAGTGATGAATGGTTTAAGAAATCTGAGTATAGAGCAATCAAGATAACAGTGAATTTATTTGTTTGTTTCTTAATCAGCTAGAATTTATACGTACATGTTGGAGAAGTCTCGTGTCATTATGCAACCTCTCAACCAGAGTAATTTTCATGTTTTTTACTTGATGATGGATGGTCTGTCTGCTGAAGAAAAATACACGCTGTACCTCAGTAATTTGTCTACACACAGGTAGGAAAACAGCTTTATATTTAGTATTAATGTTCTACATATTTTAACACCTCTGAGCTGCTGAGGTAGATCCTTCCTCCAGTTGTTAACATTTGTATTCTAAATCTTAAATAATCTCTAAAGTTATTTATTATAGAGTACATGTTCACAAGGATTTCATTGTGCAGCACGTGTCTTGTTTGTTAGGATTATTGCCATAAAGAACAAAGAAGAAGAAAACTTCTCAGTTCTTTGTTTTATTGTTCCATTTTTTGTGGATTAGAGTTACTTTTCTCCTCTCTTTTTCTGATGAAATATTTTGTCTTCAGGAAAGGCTATGTCAATAAAAAAAGACTTTTTTTCTGCAATGTGTTGATTTTGGTGAGATTTCACCATAAGTAAATGCAAATTCAGTTTACTTCATGTTGTTATGAAGAAAGAAATGAAGTTTTGACTGCTTTGAAACCAGGAATAGGGTTCAACATCCAACACCTAAAATTAGGTCTTAGTGTCTCCATGTGAGTTGATTGTCTTGGCTTGTAGTGAAATTCAGAGGTGATTGAATCTGTATTCAGCTGTATGTAGATTTACAAGTGGATACGTGTTTCAGGGTAAACAGAGCCATGTCTGTGGATTCATAAACTATACTTCCTGCTTTATTACAGAGATTGGTGTAAGAAGACGTCTAAATGTAGTATCTCTAAGGCTAAATATATACCAAATGTTTAATATTATAAGAACTTGTTGAATTTTTCAGGAATGTCTGGGGATATCTTGAAATTTATTAATTCAGATTTGTTTGGAATGAAAGCGTATTCCTGAAATAGATCATTTGCCTTTCTTTTTTCAGTCTTTCCTAGGTTGTTCCTAAGAAGTGTGACTGAAATGAGAAAAGCCTTGTTGGTATTAATAACCTTCTCTTCAATTGTGTGTCTTTATCATGAGTGTTGTGAGTAACTGTAAGAAGACCTGCAGAAGCTAAAATAACTTTAAAAGAGTGCTTTGACTTTTTCATATCGGAGCCTTTTTCCTGTTGGCTGTTCTTTCAACTTGTCTATCTCTAAACTAGTACTGCTAAGGTTTGGGCTTGTAAAGAGAAAGATACAGCATTCATTTTTGCAGAAAAACTGTTACTTGATTCTGATCATATGTTAAACATTAATCTTTAGGCTACCATTGTTAAGTAATGTTTTAATCTGTTAACACATTTGATTTTATACAGGATAGTATAATGCACTTACTTCGAGGTAACCTGAGGCTAAGTCGCTGTATTAAAAACATCCCAGTTCAAAGGAGGAGGAGAGTGTTAAACTTTATGGTTTTAATCTTTTGAGGACCAAAAGGTTTCTGATCTTTATTGCTTTTTTAGCAAAAGTTTTTTGGAATTACTCAGCTTATTCAGAAAATTAAAAAAAAAAAAAATTACGTAGTTTTGCAAGAAGATTTAACAGGAAAGAGTTTAGCTAAAACATGAATAATTAGATTCACATGAACAAAGCTTTATCTGATGAGATATTTGATAAGCATCTAAAAAAGAACAAAATAGCATTTCTAAATATACGTCTGTACACTAAAGTGCCAAAGCTTTAGAAGTAATTTATAGCTTAAAATTTGCATAAAGCTGCTTTTTATCAATAAAGCTTTGCTTTGGCTTCATCGAGTAGATTTTATCTTGTGTGACTGAGAGTTCAAGCCAAGAATTTCTTTCTTTAGATTCTTGGATATAAGAGTTCAGTGGGCAAGATTTTTCTCAATTAATGGAGTTAAACAAGGGGGAAATTTCTACTGTAACAAACTCATACATGAATCAAGAAGGCAGAATTTGGCTTCTATTACTGGTTTGTGATTTCTGACTTAGTCCGATTTTGATGAGATCATATCGTTCTGGTAACATCAATGAGTGAATTAGACAATCTTAATAAATGATGATCACAAGATTTTTTTTGTGGCTTGCTTAAGCCATTGCAATAGGGAAATGAGATGCAGCATTGATTTTACATTCTCATTTCCAGGAAAGTACCAAATTAATGTAATTGATACTGGTTATGTTTATACATGATCCTACAAAATGTAAGAGGTAGTTCACGTGCAAAGCAACTTACAGTCCTCAATTAAGAGTTGATGTAAATAACATAAAGGGGAAATCCCTCCCCTTTGGAGTCACTGAGAATTTTAAGCTGGGGTTTCACCCAAAAGGGGAGTTTAATAGGTGTTTAATAGCTTGTAATTCCATGGTGCTTGATGCTTTCCTGAGAGGGATGCTGAGCTCAGAAACTTCAAGTCATGTGCTTGCAAATATAATGACCATTAGGGCAGCATGTGGTGAACAGGACTGGGCCGTGTTCTACTGAACCAAATATAGCTCAGTGAGCCGTACAAATCGGTGTATGGAGGGGTCTGTTTCCTGCTGTGTCTGCATGTGGATCATGGTGGATAAGGATAGAAACATTTTCTGAAAGGTAAGATCACTGCTCAGAATTGAGCAAGGGAACCATTTCAAATACAGTCTCCAAAGGGCAAGTCAAGGCTTTTTTCTTAACAGCTGCACTTCTGAATTCATTATATTCAGAAGCTGATTTTATCAGCAGATCCTAGACCAAAATTTCCAAAATTTCTATAAACTTTATGTGTTTCAGAAGAACTGCAGAACTTTATTTTGCCGATTGCATGTAATATAGGAGATGGTAGGGATTTTAAATCATATTCTTGATTTACTCTGGATTTGTTTTTTGTCTGCCTTTTTTTGAGTGCTGATATTGTCCTATTACTATAAGCATTGTTCTTCTGGCATATGAAGTTTGGGCTCATAGGTAGAGTATGTACTACCTTAGTGGTGATGCTTGCAATCAAAGTGAAACAGAGAAGTGACAATGCTGATAGGTCAGTTTGTAAGTGGTCTTCAAGTCTGGTGAAGAAAGGGTGCTACTCATAGTGATTAGACAGAAAAGAAAATAATATGGGAAAATTCTTACAGAAGAGAGTTGAAAGATCTTCTTATATTGTTTTGGATCAGTTGTTTTGTATTTTCATTTATACCCCAATGCTATAGTGTATAAATAACAATAATAGAATATTTTTGTGTAATAGCTATAAGTACTCAAATATACTGTCATTAAATTGTCATGTTGTCACATTTCTATATGTGTATTAGAGACTGGAAGTAGCTTAAGGCTACTTGTAGAAAATTGTTCCAGAAAAGATGGTTCAACCTGATGTCAACATTTTTGGTTGCTAGTTATCTTCATTAACTGTACTGTTGAGGCTTTTGATAGGCAAACTGATACCATACTCTCAGCCCTGCAAGTTGGTACGGATGTAGGGCCAGTTTTCAGTCCTCCTTTGTAATGTCAGGTCTCTGCCACCCAGCATGTATAGGTTCAATTATATTTGTAAATGAGCTGTGTGGGTAAAAATGAACAACTTCAGCCTGGGGAAAATGTAAATATACAAACTCATGTAGCAACTGGACTCTGGTCAGGGAATACATTTTGTGTTTGTAGCTCAGGCTGTGCTGTTTCCAGGTGTGAAAAAGTTTTCCTTTCTCCCACAGCAGAATATACACTGCACTGTGTGCTCTGCCTGCCTGTGTTTCTCCTACTCCTTAAAAGCAGTGAAACTTGTTTGCCACAGTAGCTGTAAATCAGGCCACAGAAATGATTTGCTTTTACTGGTTTTCAGAGCAGGTCCCAATTCACTGTCAGTGAGAAAACTTTACATTAATTTCAAGCAATTTTAGTGGAGTGGTTGAATTTCTCATTAGAATTGAGACTGATCTGGACCTCTTTGCTTGATCACGGAGGAAATCATTCCCCACTTAAATGGTGAAGTTTGGTTTTCACAAGGACTTGGTCTAAACAGCAAGGGACAGTGAATGAGACACTAAGTGCAAGACTGACTTTTCTGTGTGTGAGACCCCTCTTCTAACAAGAGCATATACAGTGTGTGCAAAATGGAATTATTCTGGGATCATCCACATAAATCCCCAGTCTACCTTTCCCTCACACACAAGAGTTCAAGATTTCAAGATAGTGAGTGGCCACTAACCCGATTTTCCCCAGTTCAACATAACCTGGGAGGTAGCCTTTATTTTCTTACTGCTGTTGATACAAAACCAGGATGACATTGTGTATTTCCCTGTCTTTCTTCTTTTTTTTTCCCCTTTTTTTTATCTTCAGATGCCACAGTTGATTGTCTTCTAATTTAAAAACAACAGTGAGAAATACTGATCTTGAGCATTGTTTAACTGTTTTCCACATCTGTGTTGTTTGTCTACACATATAGCTGTGGCAGTGTAATGATGCAAGGCAAATTCACAGAAGAACTGTAAAAATAAATATTTTGGACATATTCTAGTCCTCTGATGTGCCATTCTTTTTCCTTTTACTCAAGTCTGATCACGTTTTTCGTCATAGATATTTACTTTGATTTAAACTTACAGTACCCCCACAAAGCCTAGCATAGATTTTTATGCAAATGTGGTTATGCAATATCAATTTGATCTGTTTGCTTTGTAAATTAAGTGTTGCTGATATCTGTATCTGATGACTAGTGAGAAATCCAAACAAGTGTTAGACCTGTCTTACAGATTTGGTTGGATCTAAATATCATGAATGAAATAGCTAAGTCTGGAAGGGTTTAATTAGATTTTCCCGCAAGTCATAGTCCTGCTTGAGTAATAATTTCCATATGAAGCACCAGCTTATGTCACCTTACCAAAGAGCCGATAGACTTCGTGTGCTGAAGTATTTGTGAAGAATTTTGTGTACCAAAATTCTCAGTCTTACCCCAGTAAAGTCCAGTGTTGAAGATATATGAGCTTCACTATTGAGGTTCGTCTTTATTGACAGAATAAAGCTCCAGGCAATTAGAAAAGTGGCATTAATTGTATTTAAATTTAGATGGAAGGTAAAGATCACACTCAGGTTCCTCAGCTGTCTTTTTCCGTTGTAGGTGTATAGGCATGGGAGGGAAGGAAAGCCGTGACAGGAAAGTCTAGGCTTATTATCTCTGCCAGCTGCATG